TTGGAAGGCTGAGGCGGAAGGATCGCCGGAGCCCAGCAGGTCGAGGCTGCGGTGGCCGGGAGCGGCCACTGCACTCCAGTCTGGGTGACAGAGTGAGACTCCAACTCAAAAAAAAAAAAAAGAAACACAAAGTGAGGTCCCCTTCCCAGCCTTGGGGAGATTTGGAGGACTTGGCTTCCCAGAAGAAGTAACCCCTAAACCCACCCTTAAAAGATAAGTAGAACTTATCCAGAATAGGAGAGAGGGACCATTCCAGACTAGGGGAACCACAAGGAGCAGAGAGATACAGAAGAGAGAAACTTGGTATGGAAGAGTCACAAATTTTGAGACAGGGACTAATGAGAGAGAAGGCTTGAGAAGGCTAAGACCTTGCCTTTATCCAAAGGACTTATTGAAATGTTTAAAACTGGGCTGGGCGTGGTGATTCACGCCTATAATCCCAGCACTTTGGGAGGCCAAAGTGAGAGGATTGCTTGAGCTCATGGGTTTGAGACCAATTGGGGCAACTTGGCAAGACTTTTTTTTACTAGACTTATCAGCAGTGTTTGACTCAGTTATTCACTTCCTTCTCTTAGAAACACTTTCTTCTCTTTTTTTTTTGAATTGGAGTCTGTCACCCAGGCTGGAGGCCAGTGGCATGCTCACAGCCACCGTAGCCTCAACCCTAGGTGATCCTTCCGCCACAGCCTTCCAAGTAACTGGAACTACAGCCACGCGCCACCATGCCCCGCTAATTTTTTAATTCATCGTAGAGATGAGGTCTCACCACATTGCCCAGGCTGGTCTCTAACCTGTGGGCTCAGGAAATCCTCTCACCTCACCCTCCCAAAGTGCTGGGGTTATATGCGTGAGCCACCGCGCCCAGCCTCACTTTCTTCTCTTAACTCACAAGACACCACATTCCCCTAGTTTCCCCATAACTCGCTGGTGGTTCCTTTTTGCTGTCCTTTACTGCTGCTTTCCCCTCTCTCTAACCTGCGAACTTGAGTGGTCCAAGGTTCAGTCCTTTGGACATTTTACTCCCAAGGTGATCTCATCTACTATGTGTGGATGACTCCCAAATTCATCTCTCCAAACCTGACCTAGCTTCTAAAATGCCAGACTTGTATATTCTACCTGCTTGCTTGGCATCTCTAGTGTGCAATAGATATCTCACACTTTATAGGCCCAAAACGTATCTTTATCCCACTTCCAACCCCACCCCTCCACACACACATACATCCTACTGTAATCTTTCCCATCTCAGTAGGCAGCAACTTCATCCTTCCAGAAATCTTAGAGGCAAGACATAGCTTCCCTCTTACATCTTCATCCAGTCCTTCCACAACACCTGTCACCTGTGCAATCACTGTTCTGTTACCATTACCGCCCAGTCCTGGACTGTTGCAAAATGCCTCCTAACTGATCTCCCTTTTTTCACCCTTGCCTCCTTATGATCTGTTCTTGGCATGTAAACCATATATGTCATTCAGAATGAATGACAAAGGCCCTCCCCATTACACTTTACTGCTCAGACCTCACTTCCTGCCACTCTCTCTTCCTCCAACTTCCTCCTTATTTCATAACTGCCCAGGCAGCCTGCTGCCCTGGGGCTTTTGCACTTGCTCTTTCCTTTGCTGGAACACTCTTCCCTACACAGCAGCATAGCTTGCCTCTTCACCTAAATAGTACAGGAACAGGAGGAAGAACCAAGAAGACGGTCCAGAAGGAACAATTGTTAGAGATAAGAATCATAATTGGCCAGGTGCGGTGGCTCATACCTATAATCCCAGCACTTTGGGAGGCTGAGGTAAGAGGATTGCCTGAGCCCATGGGTTCAAAACTAGCCTGGGCAACTTGGCAAGCCCTCATCTCTACAATAAATCAAAAAATTAGCCGGGGGTGGTGGCACATGCCTTTAGTTCCAGCTATTTGGGAGCTGATGCAGAAGGATCACCTGAGCCCAGCAGTTCGAGGTTGCAGTGGCCATGAGCCTGCCACTGCACTCCAACCTGGGCAACAGAGTAAAACTTCAACTCAAAAAAAAAGGAAGGAATCATAACTGAGTATCTCAGAAGCTTAGGGAGGAAAGTTTAAAGATGGTGGGAATGTTCAGCAATGTTATATCACCTCCATCTTCCCATTTCTTGGCTCCCTTCCCAGTAAATTGAAAGAATTATCTACCCCAAAACTGTCCAGTGTAAATATGAGCCACATATGTAATTTTTAATTTTCCAGTTAATTATTTTAAGTACAAAGAAACAGGTAAAATGGATCTATCTTTAACCCAAACTCAAAATGTTTGCAGTTTCATGTATAATCTATTTTTTTAAATATTAATGAGATATTTCACATTTTTTGCCACACTGGGTTTTGGAAATCTAGGGTGTATTTTACACTTACAGCCCATCTTACTTCAAATTAGCCACATGTCAAGTGCTCTGTAGCCACCCGTGGTGAGCAGCTACCCCAGAAGGCAGCACAGGCCCACTCTGTCTTAAGTTCTTCAGCCAGTTTGTCCAGCCTCTGACTTTATCTTTCCTTCACAGCTACTTTGATCATGATTGTTGTGACTACCATGTTAGCAGAACCAGTGATCTCTCAGACCTCAGCTCTCTGCAGTCACCAACACAGATAACCACTTCTGCCATCTTGAACTGTCCCTTTATTGGTTACCCACCTCCTTCTCATTCATTCGCCTTTGCTGCTCCCACTTCCTGTACTGGCCTGCCACATTCTAGAGGTTTTCTAGCATGTGTCCTGGGCCCTATTCTATACCAGTCAATTAAAAAAAGAAACAGGCCGGGTGTGGTGGCTCAAGCCTATAAACCCAGTACTTTGGGAGGCCGAGGTGAGAGGATTGCTTGAGACCAGGGGTTCGAGACCAGCCTGGGCAACTTGGGAAGACCTCGTGTCTACAATAAATCAAAAAATTAACTGGGCATGGTGGCGCATGACTGTAGTTCCAGCTACTTGAAAAGCTGAAGTGAAAGGATTGCCTGAGCCCAGCAGATCAAGGCTACAGTGGCCATGAGCTTGCCACTGCACTCCAGCCTGGGTGACAGAGTGAGACTCCAACTCAAAAAAAAAAACGACGACTTGGAAGGCTGAGGCAGAAGGATCTCCAGAGCCCAGCAGGTCAAGGCTGCGGTGGCCATGAGTGCACCACTGCATTCCAGTCAGGGTGACAGAGTGAGACTCCAACTCAAAAAAAAAAGTTTATTTATTGCATAAATGAATACACATCAGTCTGATTGAAGACTAATGTTCTAGTTCCAGGGGTGTGTGCTAAAAGATTATTCTCCTTAGGTGAGTGGAGGCTTGAAACCTACACAGAGACTCACAAAGTATGTACTGAACACAAGCAATTTTGATAGTTATTTTAAAATTTATTTTAAGTCAGAGTCTCACTCTGTCGCCCAGGTTGGAGTGCGGTGGCATGCTCACAGCCACTGCAACCTCGACCTGCTGGGCTCAGGCTATCCTGCCTCAGCCTTCCAAGTAGTTGGAACTACAGGCGCACGCCACCACACCTGGCTAAATTTTTGATTTATAGGAGAGATGAGGTCTCGCCAAGTTGCGCAGGCTGTCCTCGAACCCGTGGGCTCAGGCAATCCTCTCACCTCGGCCTCCCAAAGTGCTGGGATTATAGGCATGAGCCACCATGCCCAGCCACAAGCAGTTTTTAAATGTCATCCTTCGTTCTTCTAAGACTCAGTGGGGAAAATAGAGGAAATCACAAGTTGAAATCACAAGCCAAGGATTATAGTGTCTCACCAGCT